CCGATAACAAACCAAACTGCTCAAATCCGAACCGAAACGAAACCGAACCGAATGGTTTATAAACCCGTTAATGACCCGAACCGTTTATAAACCGAAACCGTTTAAACCGTAAAAAAAACCGTTTAAACCGAACCATTTGTAACCCGCTAACCGTTTAAACCGACCCGTTTATGAACCGAAACCGTTTAAACCGCAGGAAAAACTGTATAAACCGAACCGTTATAATCCGCTAACCGTCTAAACTGAACTGCCATAACCCGTTAAACCATTAAAATCGAACTGTTTTCGAATCGCAACCTGTTTAAACTGATCCGATTACAAATTGCTTAATTCAAATTGAATTATTTACAACCTGAATGATTAAAAATGTAGATCTAATCAAACGGCTTAGGTTTATACAAAGGTTTATATCACCTAGATCTAGTCCAACGGCATTATTAATATCGTTTTAGATTACTTATTTATTTTAATTAATATCAAATGTAACATACTAGTATTATTATATATTTATATATATACTTTAATTTAACAAAGGTAACAATAAATATAAATTTTAAAATAAATGCAATAAACATTACTAAATGTAGATCTAATTAAACAACTTAGGTTTATACAACAGTTTATATCAAATAGCTCTTGTAATCGTCTGGTTACATCTGAGCTTAGTGTAGAATTTGATATGGTAACTGAACATATGTAGTCTAGGCGTCTAGCACATTATCATCTTCCTCTTCCTCAGAATCATTGTACTTTAATCTCTCTTCAATGCTCATGTTTCGGGTTGAATCAAATTCTCAAAAGTACAATTACAAATCTCCTAGACTATCAATACTATGGAGTTACAATTTCCAATCAGTCAATCACAATTCACATTTATACCACACCATTCAATTTAAAATTTGACCAAGTTACAATATCATTCGATTGTTAACAACTTAATAATTTGAAAATTCGAAAGTCCCATTTGCCTAAGAAGAAATTAGACCAATTCACAATAAAATCCAATATTATCATGACCAAGTTTTAACCAAACCTCAAATAAGCCAAATTTCAATCAATCCCAAATACAGGAAGAAAACAAACAATTAAATCATTATTCCATAATATACGAATTAAACCATTCTTTAGCCACATTATTTCATAACACTACCACAAATCCAGCAGATAAATAGCATTAAAATTAGAGTAATATCAACAAGCAATTAAAAAAAGTCACCATTTTCATTGATTAAAATTCACAATACATATACCAATACATAATGAAACTACTATCACTACTACCCAGATTAGATTTCAGATTTATCAACTGAAACATCATCAAATTACTATTACCATTATCACAAAACACTAACCCTAGAAATTCAAATTCAATCAAAACCCCCAATTAATCCCTCTCACCACGAATCCTTCGGGCAAGCTGAATACCCTTAAGCATAATAGTAACCCTCTTAGCGTGAATCGCACAAAGGTTAGTATCCTCAAACAGACCAACCAAGTACGCCTCAGCAGCCTCCTGAAGAGCGGCAACAATAGAGCTCTGGAAACGAAGATCAGTCTTGAAATCCTGAGCAATTTCTCTGACAAGCCTCTGGAATGGAAGCTTCCTGATGAGAAGCTCAGTGCTCTTCACTCCGTGATCTCACAAAGCGCAACGGTTCCAGGTCTGAAACGGTGAGGCTTCTTCACTCCACCGGTGGCTGGGGCTGACTTACGGGCTGCCTTGGTGGCGAGTTGCTTCCTTGGGGCCTTTCCACCGGTGGATTTTCTTGTGGTTTGCTTGGTTCGTGCCATTGTTGATGTTAAGAGAGAAAGTGAAGGTTTTAGAGAGAGAAAGTTTGGGGTTGCAAAAAATGATAGATGATAAGATGAAGGGTGGAGTGAGAATGTGAGTGATTTGGGAGGGAGAAAGAGAGCGGTTATTTATAGGGAGGTGGTTTTGAAAATCGAGGTTTTGAGGGAAAGGATGTGGAGCGTTGATTTGGGGGTATAATCGACGGTTTTAGTTAGAGTTGGAGTTGGGCACACGGATTACGGATTTGGGGGCTAGTTATTGGCGGTAAAGTGGTTTAAAAGGAAATTCAAAGGATTTGGTTTGGCGGGAAGTAGAATTGGAAGGAGGGGAGGTGAAATTTTAGAGAGAGAAGTGTAATTGTGCAAGTAAACGGCTGATAAGAGTAATAGCTCATAATGGGTTTGTAAGTTATAAATTGTAACACCTTGAAAATCGTGCACGCATTGCGTGTGCTTCAGAACTTGTAAGTTATAAATTGTAAGAAATGCAAATGTTTCAAAATTGAAATTGATTCAATACGACATAGAAAATGACTTAATGTATATCAATATCTGACATCTCTATACGTATACATATCTGTGAGTCTGTGACTGTATATGTAATAAACTAATAACTTAATAAAATAATAAGTAATAATACTAATAACTAATAAAGTAATGAAATCTAAGTCTAACCATTGTTTCTCATGGGTATTCAATCTAACCGTTGTATATTTGACTATTTGTACATTAATATTGAATAATGATTTCATCACCACTTTAGTGATTTCGTGATTTCGTCCATTTAACTTATCAAGTTGTTTGAGTTAGTAATCTAAATAAAGTAACAAACTAAATAACGAATCCATTTAATCTCGTGTAACTTATAATCTATAACAAATGCAATGTTTGGAAATGGAAATTGATTCAATACGATATTGTTAATGTATATGTAATTATGTATTAATTATTTAATTATTATGTATATCATATCGTACAAATGTACGGTTGGTATCATTATCATACTATCATTGCCTCATTGAATCATTGGTATGTACGTATAATCGATAAACATATCTGATTATTAAAACTTAAAAGTTTAAAACACTTGTTGATCGATCTAATTGAGTACTTGTACTTCCTTAATTATCGATTTATCGTATTCTAAGTATCAACTCATTAAATCATGGTCATGACGCGATCTTTAAAACAATCATGAATTCATGACCCAAACCGCTTATAAACCGAACCGGCATGATCCGAACCGTTCATTAACCGAACCGACATTGGACTGTGTAAACCCTCCCCTAAACTGGCCCATTTCAAACCGAACCAGCATGATCCGTACCGTTTATAAACCGAACCAACATTGACCCGGGTAAACCTGCCCCTAAACCGACCCGTTTCAAACCGAACCGGCATGATCCAAACCGTTTGTAAACCGAATCGACATCAACCCGGGTAAACCCGCCCCCTAAACCGACCCGTTTCAAACTGAACCGGCATGAACCGAATTGTTTATAAACCGACCCGCTTATGACCCAAACCGAATTTAAACCGTAAAGAAATAAACCGAAACCGAACCGACCCGTGACTAACCCAAACCGAATTGAACCGACCCGTCAGCTAAATCAAACCGTTTCAACCCGAACCGCTCCAAACCGAAACCGACTCGCACCTAGGTCAAACCGAACCGCCAAACCGAAGTCCCAACCCTACAAATAACATATATAATTAACATTAGATTAAGGTAGTACGAGTTTTACAACATGCATAAATAAAGAATTTTTATATGGAGGGTCTCCCCTGCTGTAATTATTAATCTGTATATGATAATAAAATCAACGGTAAAATAAAAATGTGATGGTAAATAATGAATTTGGGAATCATCAGCAACACTAATGAAGAATTGAAGATGAAGGATTCAATTCCTGACATCTTAATAAGAATCTAGAATGTCAAGTTGGTGATCTGATTATTGATGGAACCACTTCTTGGAACTCTTTACTATCAATGCAACATCATTCTAAAATAGCCTTGATGCATAGATGAGCCAAGTTCATTCTCAGAACTTTATACACCTGCTTATTTGTAAGTTTGTTATGGTTCCAAAGCAATTTTTATAACTCCAGGGCATCCTAGTGCGCATTCACTTCGATCTTGAATAAAATTCCCAAAATTGGTCTCAAAAGCGTATTATATAACCTTCATTTTTAGACAACTTTTGACTATTCCGAAATCAGAAATAAAACATGTTGTGGTGCTTCCCAGCATAGAGTTCACAACATTCCGAAAGGCCATTTGAATGGTTTGAACTTTGAACTGTCCACTTTGCATTTAAATTTCAAATTTAGTCGTTTACGTACAACTTATGCTTCCCTTCATTAACTCAAGGTCACCAAAAAGACTTTATGTGACTGACTAATGGTCATATTTAATTCCAAATAACATTATATGACCCGGGCCTTACAATCTGGAGAGTATTCAACACTAGGTACCGAAACGTTCGAGTGCAATAGAAGGTAGCAAACGTGATAATAGTATATATCTAATTAAAGGTTTGCTAGCTAGAGAATCTTCAATGCTCTTACTCATCATCAAAGTCATCAGATTGCTCCTTTTGTTTCTACAAACTAGTTAGTGGAAGGAACCTACTAAAAACGTAGAATCCAAGCAAATTGATAAACTTAATTTCCCTTCCATTTTACTCTTCTAATTATTCATTTATTTAATCAAAGAACTACATTTACATACAATTTAAATATTTTAATTAAAAGAAAACTACACATACTAATAAACTATTCATAGGTAATAGCTCTGTTTATTAACAGTGGTGTTTATGTTTTTTCTGATTCAAGTGCTTTAAAATCCTTATTATAGCCCATAATACTAACGAATATGGAATTTGACTTTGTCTAATTAAAAGGGATTTTCAATCAAACTAACACAAGTATGACAAAGATTTAGTGGAGGTGAGTTAAAATCCATTAATGTGAACACAAAATAAAAATTATATCTCTCCATGATTATTATTAGTACTGTATTAGTGAAGACGCGCTAATTATGGGCATCTCGAGTTTACAGTTATACCAAGACTTAAGCTACTGATGCTAGATCCAAGGTATTGAAGTATTGTACGAAAAGTATAATTCATAGGATAATCATATGGCTTTCTTTTTTATGTTCCCCTGATCATAATATATATAAAAGCAGATCAATATCGTATACGAATGTGCTTAATCTGTACTTTCATTTTACAGCTGCAGGTTAATGCTCATGCTCCTTTAATCAGTTCCGAAAACTATGTTGCTGCGACAAAGAAATTTGCTTGTTCTGATTGTACTGATAATGATCTCACTCAAATCTGGTAAAGATCATACCATTACATTACATATTGCTACTATACCATTTTGTTTTTTCAACACTTCATATGTGACAGTAGAAATACATAATATGTACTGTTATGAATTTTTAACTGATGCAAACCTCTTCAAGTTTTTGATGCTATATATATGATGTGAATCAGTATTGTGGGTAGAAGCACAGCTGGAAGAATGGTGCATTGCAGACGAGCAGGCGCCGGATGCTGTGCTGCAGAGTGCACTTGATTGGGCGTGTGGGAAAGGAGGAGCAGACTGCAGTAAGATTCAGAAAGATCAGCCTTGTTATTTGCCAAACACGGTCAAAGACCACGCATCATATGCCTTCAATAGCTACTTTCAGAAATACAAGAACAAGGGTGGCAACTGCTGTGATAACCGGGGTTGATCCTAGTAAGCTCCAAAACTCTAATTAAAATTATACTTTCTTCTTAACAAATGTTTACTTATACATCACAACTCGCAATCATAAAAGCTCATTATTTATATTACTAACTAATTTCATGATTGTTGTGTGTTCGTTCTCTGTGTTTGAACAGGCCATGGAGGATGCAAGTACGAATATTACCATTGACGTAAAGCACAGATCAAAGTCTGAATTAAGTATCGACTTCTTTAGAGATTTTATCAATGTCTTAGACTAGAAAATCGAGATACACTGGAGTTGCATTCCTCAGGATTTTCATGATCTTCTTGTGGATTTAATTCGCCTTGCGTGACCACAAATTAATGTTTTGTGGATTTTTATCTGATAATTGCCATGAAGTGTTTTGTGCTACAAGTCCACCCATGCGTGCAAGAGCAAAAAACTACACTTGGGTACCCCTACGAACCTACCTCTGTATCTAGGTGTACATTCTCAGCCCTAGCTAGTTACAATTTTTTTTAGTAAAGTATATTCATCGATATCTCCCTCCCCCGTTTTATTAAAATTGTTGCAATTGCTATCAACACAATAAATTAATATCTTAAATTGAATTTATATTTTGGGTCAAGTATGATGTGGATTAAACTCCCCATTTGTTGGAAGTGATAGCCAGGAAATAAAAAGGTTTTGTATATATCCAATAACTTAAAATATTTTTTTAAAGATAATAATTTGTTCATAACCTCTTTTGTAAAAAAAATCTTTTTATTTCAGGAAAAAATAAGTATAATATTTGTAATTACTAAATTAAGCTTGATTAGCTTGTAGTTGTTATGATTTTCCCTTATCTATACATAATTGTTAAGAATGAAATCAAATCATGATTCTAAACATTAATTTCTAAATTTGAAGATACGGTGCCATATAGTTTGTGAAGTATATACTATATATATACCAGGAAAATTGTAACGTAGTTGTACAATATAATAGAGCGTAATACATACACGCACTATTAGCTTGTACAAAGAACCCAATTTTTGAAGATGGAGACTTTTGGCTGTTGTTGTGTTTTTGTTGCTTGCTTTTTGTTGGTTCTTTTGTCACAAATAACTGGTAAGAATTATAAATATGAAATTGTAACATTGTTATTACAAAGTAGTACTAGGAAATAGGAATGTCATATAACAGCTTATTATAAATGTATTCTAATATCGTATATTATATACTCCGTATTGTATAGGGGGTTACAGCCAATGCAGAAATTGGTGTATAGCAGATCATGAAGCACCAGATGCACTGATACAAAAATCCCTAGACTGGGTATGCGTGAATGCAAAAGAGGCATGTAACAGAATACAGCCAGGACAACCCTGCTATAAACCAAATGATCTAAGAGCTGTTGCTTCCGCCGCCTTCAACGACTATTGGCAGATCGTCAAGCATGCTCCCGGAGCCAAGTGTGACATCTTTGGCGCTGCTATTTTGGTTGACAGTGACCCTAGTATGTCTTTAAATAAATCCACTTGTTTTTTCTTATAGTAAGCTAGCTAGTGTGTATACTCGTAATAATTTAATTTGTTTTTCTTTTGACGTCCAGGTCATGACAATTGCAAATTTAGCTGCACACCTTGAAGATATTGGGAAATTAACAAGATGAAGAGAGTAACAAATGTGTCATTGTAATAATATATCAGGAGCTAGCCTAGTTTCTGGTTATCTAATGTTAACAAGATGAAGAGAGTAACAAATGTTAGTAAAATGTTTTAAGTAATTTAATGATACAACTCTTGGAAAGATGATCATTTTACTAACCTCAATAGATCATGATAGAATAATCTCCTCTAGGTTTAGGATATATTTTGTATAAGATTATTTTTATGATATATTTACATATCTTGTAGTTACTTAATATGATTAGGTTTCTCATTGTACTCCCATAAATATTGATCAATGGAAATCACTCCGATTAACGAGTTTATATTATCTAACATGGTATCAGAGCTTAGGTTAGATCTTGGAATTGTTTAGATAAAAAAATTTCTGACAATGAACCAAGTTTATCTGGATTAACGAGTTTATATTATTTGACAATGAACCAAGTTTATCTGGATTAAGTTCGTTATGCATTTGATTGATCAGTTTGAAAATTTTGTGACTCGTCAATAGAATTGATCTTAATTTACCTTAATCAATGGAATTTTCTCAATAAGTAACCACCACAAAAAGGCTAACTAATATCAACCATTCCATTTTAATCTACGAAGATTATAGATGACAAAAGGCTAATATCAAAAGGCTATGGCTGCAGCAGCATCTGATTCTGATTCTATTTAGCTTGTTCTTCCCAATTTATCTCTACTTTTTCCAGATTTTGTCTTTGATATGAAATTTTGTCACTAATGTAGTAAACTACCTATGTTTTTAAACTTAATTCACCTTCAATTCCACTTTACTCTTCTGACTATTAGTCTAAACAACTATTTATATACTCCGTAATCCATTCATTTTAACTAAAAAAGAACTGCACATAATAAATTATGAGGGAGCCAGTTAATCTCTGAGATTAACATTTTAAGTTAATCTCCTCTCACAACTTTTCTCTGCCATTTTACTATTTCACTTTTATTATTTTAAAAATAAAAATAAAATAATATATTATGAGAGGAGATATATTTCCATGTTCATATCAGAGATAAACTTGAATTTTCCCATAAATTATTCATAGGTAATAGCTCTGTATGTGCTGTCTAATACAGGTGCTTTAAGAAACTCATTAAAGCCCATAATACATACTAAAGAATATGGAATTTGACTTTGTCTAATTAAATCAAGCTAACACAAGTATGACAAGATTCAGTGGAGGTGAGTTAAAATTCATTAATTAAAAATTATTCATCTCCATGATTATTAGTATTGTATTAGTGAAGACCCGCTAATTATGGGCATCTCGAGTTTACTAAGACCTAAGTTACGAATGCTGGATCCGATCCGAGGAGTTAAAGGATTGTACTAAAAACGAATAGTATATTTCTAAGCATATGGCTATTTTTTATGCATGTTCGCGCTCCCTGATGATAGTATATATTTAAGCAGATCAAAATGAATGTATATATGTATGAATGTGCTTAGCTAGCTTAGCTTGTACTTTGATTTTTCTGCTGCAGGTTGATGCTCATGCTCTTTCAGCCAGTTCCGAAAACTATGTTGCTGCAACAAAGAAATTTTCTTGTTCTAATTGTATTGATATTGATCTCACTCAGATCTGGTATAATATCATACCATTAAATATTTACATTACATATTTCTACCATCTTAATTTTAACACTTTATATATGACAGTAGAAATAACATGTACAGTTATAAATTAGTAACTGATGCAAACATCTGCAAGCTTATGTAACTGAAGTCATTATCTGTGCTGCTATATATATGTATGATGTGGATCAGTATTGCAAGTAGAAGCAAGAGTATGGTGCATTGCAAAAGAGCATGTACCGGATGCTGAGCTGCAGAGTGCACTTGATTTTGCGTGTGGCTCTGGAGCAGACTGCACTAAGATTCAGGAATATCAGTCTTGTTATTTGCCGAACACGGTCAAAGACCACGCATCGTATGCCTTCAATAGCTACTTTCAGAAGAACAATTACAAGGCTGGCAGCTGCAAGTTTGGATCAGCTGCTGTGCTAACCACGGTTGATCCTAGTAAGCTCCAAACTCACATATACTTTTTTATTTTTTTTTGTTAACCAATGTTTACTTATGCATCATAATTAACTCTCAAGAATAAATGTGTAAAGATAATTGTTAGTCGAACATAAAAAAACTAAAGCTCATGATCACTATATTATTAGTAACTAATTTAATGATTGTTGTGTGCTCTCTTTGTTTGAACAGGTCATGGAGAATGCAAGTTCGATTATCCCACACTCTTTGAAGATTCTAGCAATGCCTTAGACATTATATAGAAGTTGCAATCCTCGGAGCATCTCCATGATCTTCTTAATTGTAATCTTCTAGCGGATTACTTTCGCGTCGTGTGACCACAAATTAATGTTTTATGGATTGATTATGAAACCATTGTATTGCCTTGCTTTAAGGCTTTAAGTGTTAAGTGTTGTGTGCTACGAGTCCGGCCTAGCTACATCATCTTAGTCAAGTATATTGATCGATATTTCATTCCCACGTTTTACTAAAATTGTTACAATTGCTATCAGCACAATAAATTAACATCTTAAATTGAACTCATACTGTAAGTTAAGTAAAACCTGTAACGTGAAAGAACAAATAGGTTGAAGAGAATTAGGCCTGATATTTGATAAGTTTTCAATAAGAATGATTTCAGTGCAATCGCATTAGTTTGTTAGTAAAAATAGGGTGAAGAGAATTTTGCCTAATGTTTGATATTGAAGAACATTTACATGCTTATAAAGGTAGATATAATGAATTGCTCCATATTCGGAATATAATCATATTCCCTCGGTGTTATATTTAAGTGCTACACTTATTAAAGCGGTCATGTGTTTTTTTAAGTGTTACACTTCTCTATTTGGCAAACTACATTTTAATAATATATCTCTCTCTCTCCTCTCATTGTCCCACTCCTCACCCAAACCCACTTTTTTAATTACTCTGTTTTTTTTTTCCCTTTCATATTCATTACTTTTCAATAAATTATTAATCTCAATATCTTTCTTTTACAATTTTGTTATATATACCCCACATTATTTTATTTAAGTCAATTAAATTGCCTAAAATTATGTGTCGATCAGAGTGTAACGCTTAAAAAACATGTAAAGAGTATCATAAGATATTCCACATTTTAGAGTGCAACTAGGCGCACAGCTGCTATTTATTTAGGATGCATATAGGAGGGCTAATTGGTAAATTCACATGCCACTGGATAATTTTTGTGATTTTTTATGGTTACAGTGGTATAAACAAGCCAAAAAGCTACGATGGTAAAAACAAAAGGAAAAAAGAAAAATGTCACACATGTGATTTGCGTGCATAAATGGGGGTGTATATATAAATAGACATTTTAAAGAATATACAATAGTTGACATAATACTATTAATAAGCGTTTGGTTAAACTTTTAATAAGATAGGGATTAAAATGATATGAAATGAATATCATGTTGTTATTTACTCCATATTTCCTCATATACTCGCAATATGGAGAGTATAATATCTGTAATTACTAAATTAAGCTTGATTTAATTTTCTAAATTAGCTTGTAATCATTATAACTTGAATGATTTACCCTTATCTATACATAATTGTTATGTTAAAAAAGAAATTAAATCATATCATGATTCTAAT